CCTTTTCATGTTTTCGGCTCTACTAATATCAACCACCCAAAACAACCCTCGACTGTCTATATTTAACTAGGGATGCAATTGTAATTTCACAATCTCTATATTTATATAAATAGGGAGCTCATTTATTGAAAAAAGTTTACGCAATTTTACTATTCATTACTTGCTTTCTTTACTTTTTTCTCCTTTTCTTTTACTCTATATGCTTTGGGTGTTTCTGCCTGACGGCTTCGGATTTAACACATACAGACCACTCAATTCCCATGCATTCACATACATAACATGATCTTATTTTTTTACATTTATACCACCAGAATCTTTCATATAACATAAAAGATATTATTATTTTTATTTCTTAAAAGTGAAATTCATAGGTAAAGCAACATATATGTAAGAAAAAAAAAGTTTAGGCGCTAGATATGTAAAAGCATATGAATTAAATGTTATGTAAGGTTTCGTTTGAGAAAGCGGTGAAGTTCCATTCAGTTCCAGTGAAGTCCCGCACTCGAAAAAAATTTTATTTGGTGAAGTTGTGTCTCCCGAATGTCTATCAAAGTTCTTTTGCCAGAAGAGCCTCCTCTGTTAGACGTCTAACATTACTTTAAGGAAAAATTAGCTGAACAAAGACACTACTTCAAATGAAACATAAATCCCTGAAAAACATTTTAAATGTAAAAGAGTATTAGGAAGTTATAAAACGATTTCTGCGAGGTTACATTGTCATTTCTTTGGGGAATCTTAAAATGTCCGGGAAACACACTAAAGATATAGAACGTCTTAACAGGGGGAGATGAGGAAAGGTATAATAAAGAGTATTAAAGAGTATATGATACTTTATTTATGATATGAACCCCCTATTTATAGGAATAGGCCTCAGTCCTACAAAATAGATCAGTCCCCTCATCATCAGCCTTTAAAGGGGACTTTTTATCAATTACAAAGATACTTGGAAATAATAAAACTAGCGAACTAATTCAGTTGGTAATAAGTTTGTCGACCGCTCACACCGCTTTGACTTCATTGGTACTTATCAATCAGTCTAAGAGCCGATTGTCGTCCTATGGGAAACTCTCTGACATGTTTCTCTGATCGCTCGATTCAAATGTCTTATTTGCTAGGATCTGGTCCGTCTAGTTGGCATTACCTTCTTTCTAAACTGTCAGTTTGCTTTGAGATTTATGTTGACATAGCTTTTGTATATATATTTAGTTCATTGATTCTTGTGCTCCCTGAAGCTTCATAGTGCATAAGAATAAGGAAATCTTTTCTAACATGTAAGAAATAATTAAATGACATTATTGCACGATAATATACTCTTGGATTTTCGTTCCCAGAACACAATAAATAAGCCATGGGATAAGAAAAGTGTAGGCCCTTCCCTTTTTCCTCTAGCTCTCTAGATCTTCCCTCTTCTTTGTCAGTAATTATGTTTGCCGGAGAAGCTTTGTCTGCTGACAAGGATGCCCTTCTCAAGGCGATGAGTGACATGCAGACAAAAGCTAGGAAGCCCGTCACAAAGTAAAAGCAAGCGGGTGAGTTATCCATAGAGGAATTGAGTAAGAAGAAGGTTGTGCATAAATCACGAACTGGTAAGCTTGAGGATTGAGCAAGATCCCTGGGTCTTCTTGTGAGTTTGTTACCGGAGGGGACCTTTGAGCACCCAATAGGTCGTTCGGGCGATGATCTTGTCGGGCATCCAACTAAGGTGGACTTTTCTGTCGGGTAAAGGGACATTTCTTCGAGGTGGTCAGGGCAAGGCGATGACCTGGCGAAAACACCATCTCATCTGTCGAAGGGTTGCTTTTCTTATGTGGACTGGGGAGGATGTTAAACCTTTTACTACGTCTGATGAGAATCAAGTCTTGGGTAGGTGGCTTTATATTGTCTTGAATGTTAGTACTTCTTCTGTTGATACAATTATAGAAATTATGACGATCAATTTTGTATCTATAGATATTGACACTTATTCTGAGGACAATGTAGTTATTATGGAACAGGTCATTGCGGGTGATGTTGATATTGCAAAATAATGTGCTGCGAAACAGGAAAAATTATTTTGTCGGATAATAGACGTAGAGTTACGCGCGAAAGCCAATTCAAATGGATCATGTGTTTTTTTAAAACTTTTTTACCATTATTTTATTCTAAAAAATACATTTTAATCTCTAAAATTATATAGAAAAAGCGTGTAACGTTTGGCCCTACCCCGACCAGTCCCGTCTCGTCTAGAAAAAGTAAATATAACAACTACAGAGATAGAGACTTTTGGTGTTTCGGTTCATTCGACGTTTCATATTCCGAGATTGACATGAAGCTCTCTAGGGTTTGATCTATAGTTTTCTGTTCTATATTTTCTACCCTACAGATTCCTTTATTGTACAAAGGTTAATATTTGTTATTTTGTTTATTTTCTTGTTTAGTTTCTTTATTTTTGCTTGTCGTTATTTCCTCATTCTAAAGCTCCACATGTCTACTTGTCTCCAAGCTTAACGATGAAGAAGAGACTGAGAATCTCGTAGAAATTTGAATACAAAATATGATAAGTGCATGTAATCCAATAGTTGTTTTTTTTGTAAGTAAATCAAATAATAAGCTTGCAAATGTGAGATAATCTGTTTTTTTTTTTATGATTTTTTTGTTTCCTAACTGAATAATTTTTTTTATATCTTCTGGTGCATGCTCTTAACAAACAACAATGTTGTATTAGTTATGTTGCTTTACCTTAGTTATAATGTTCTAATCTTCTACTTCATGGGCGAGCCAATGGATTGACATTCAATCTGTGACATACTTCATCAATTGACATGCAAGGCATATCAACAGTTGTTCATGCGAAGACAACCCGATTTTCTTGGAGGGTCCAAATCAGCAGCTCTCTCTGTCATGCATCAAAAACTTTACTTATCAAAAAATATTTACCTAGCTCTCCCTCGACAGTTGGGATCTTGAGGGTGGCCTCGTTGGTCTCTGGGCCACCTTTCTTTGAGTTCTAGATGTCCTGAGGATCGTGCTTCATGTTGCTTATTGCTCGTAGTAAATTGCTTCTCATTTTCCCCCCGACTTACTCGTAGCCCGATCACCTCTAGTGCTTCCTTTTGCCTGAGAAACTGTACAATGGTCCGGCTAGTGTGATCATTCAGTCAGCAGTAAGAAGTAGTTTATCAAAAATCTATTTTAGAAGCTCATTTACTAAGCTCTCTTTATCGATGAGAATGTTACCTACTTTATAATTATTAATTATCATTATTATCACAATAACATCATTGTAGGGATTTCCCTTCGACAAGATACTCATCGATGATGTAGATAGATGGGTGGCTCTTCAGTTTTGGAGCGAAGGTCATAGTTCATAGTTCCACTATTTGTTGCCTCTTCCAGCTCATCCTTCTGGGCAGTTAGCTTCCTCCAAATATGGCAGACACATATCTTGCAATGTGAATGACGTTTGTACGGGTAGGTTTGTCGGTCGTTCTCACTATGGAAGCTTTGCCATGCCTCTGGGCCAGACCACAGAGGTGAAAAATTATTTTAGCTTCCTCTCTTTTATCAACGTTTCAATCAGACTCCAGAGGTGTCTGCGTTTCTTTGTGTTGTGCTTGTGATCTATGTGGTATTTGTAGTATTTCCTGCTGTCTTGGAAAAAGGTTATGGTTCTCATCGGTGGTGTCATCCTAAAAAATAATTATCTTGAATGATGTCCACTATTTATGTCACGGACACCCTTAATGGGGTTGCTCGGGGGCTCCATGGTAGTATTGGGGTTGTTCGTGGTAATGGGACAATCAGAGGTGCTAGGCCTTCATCTACCTCCTCTGATCCTCGTGACGATTGGCATAGTTATTGCATAGATGATTTTCATAGCGTGGGAATGATCTGTCATATACTTTGCTTGGTTAGCCTTCTGTTGTCTTGCGACAGCCTCTTTTGGTGCCTATGTTTGGCGGGCTCTGGGGCATTCTCATAGGCAACAACATACTTATTGGCCATCTCTAACAATTCGGCCAAGCTCCATGGCTTTGCAAGGTCGAGTTTGAAACAAAATTTCTCTGACCTCACTCTCTTTGTTAGCACGACCTGGGCCATGTCAGGCTTCAAGTCATCAAGTCCAATGTTTCCCTCTGTAACCGTATAATAAATGATTTCAAGCTCTCATCAGCTTCTTGTTTCAGTTGCCATAAAGATCAGACGTTCTTTTTGGGTCTCAAAGCGCTGAAAACTAAGAAAAAACATCTTAAATTATGAAAAAAAAGTGATCACCCTTGCTGGTATCTCCTCAAACCATTTTAGTGCTGACAATCTCAACGTGGTGAAGAATAACTTACATTTGAGAGCATCATATATTTTTAGAAGACATATGTAAGATTCAAACGATGCGAAGTGGTTGTTGAGGTCTGATCACCTTTTGTATGGCTCTAGGGTAGGCATATTAAACTTCTCCAAGGGTTTAGCTCCTGATGCTTTTAGCGATAAGGCATTTTTTTGCTGTCGTTATGCCTCGGTTCGCACTGATTGATTCCTTTCCTCGGGGGCTAATCCGTTGCTATCCTGATATAACCTATCATCAGGTTTCTCTTGTAGGTGGATTGTTCTTCTCTCGTTATTTGTTGGTGGTTCCCCTTGAAAGGGGTTGAGTGACCCTTGTTAGGCTTGTTTTTCTCTTGGGACCGGTGCCGCTGCCAGGGCAGCGATCTCTCTGAGTATCTTTGTGAACTGTTTTGACATCTGGTTGGTGATTTGGGTCCTTAAGTATTGCAAGTCTTGTTGGATGAATTCTTCCATGAACTCCCTAGCACATGTTACTTCTACCACATTCCTCTGGCTGGATTCTCCCTGTTTTTGTTGTTCAGCTCCTCTTTTTATTGACGACATATTTTCACGCTCACTGCTTCTTAAAGGATGTTAATTCCAAAAGTGTTTGGAAAACACACCCAAGATATAAAACATCTTAGCAGGGGTGGTGAAAAAAAGGTATAATAGAGAGCAATAAAGAGTGTCTGATGATTTTATTCATGATATGAACCTCCTATTTGTAGGAATATATCTTAATCCTACAAAATTATAGATCAGCTATTTAAATAGAGTTTTTTTGTAATTACAAAGATACATCAATACAATAGAACTAGCTAATTGATTCGGTCGATAAGAAGTTTGTCAACCGCACGCCCCGCTTTGAGAGCCAATCATCATCCTGTGGGAACTCTCGGGCACATTCTTCTGGTCGTTCAATCCAAATGGCTTCTTCGCTAGCTTCATGTCCGTCCGATCGGCAGTGCCTTAAGAACTATCCGTTCTCTTTGATATTTGTGCCGAACTATTTTCTTTTGTACACCATCCTATTTTTCAAGTGTAAAAAAAACATTGGGAAAGAAAATATTAATCACATAAACAACTATTTCGCAAATAATGAGGAACCAAGTCGATCGTATCTATACAAAAGGACTCTTCCCAGAAGTCTCCCGCTCGTTCCCCGAGTTCCAATTTCTTCCTCAACCAAGCAACTACCTCACAGACCCTCCATGTGCTCGACGAAATGCCTCACATACTTAACTCCATCCCCATAACCTTTTCTTCCCATTCCCCCCC